CAAAATATATATTGTGTGTTGGAGTGGTCCAGACGCTACATCACTTATTGGAAAAGAAGCCTTAATGTGAACATTCTTCTCTTCATCCGTGTATTCACCATGGAGGTCCCTGTTAGTTATTAGCATTCACTGAGTACAGAGAAAGCGAGACCTCAAAGCGTTGTGTGCGTACCCCCTAGACCGCAAAAGTTATTAGTTGTGTTAGACGGTGTCCATAATGGTTTAAGCACCAGGGGCCTCCGAAAGAGCCGTTTTGCTGTTAATTAGAGGGCAGTGATTTAGCCCCGTGGAGAGGCAGGCCACCAGTGCACTCACTTCCCCTCATCTTCACACTCGAAGTCACGGCTCCTCCTGAGCTATGAGTCAGGCATGCCTGCGCGGCCCATGCCAGACAGGAAGCCTCATCTGCCCTGCACCCAGGCTCATCATTTGCCAACGGTGCATGGCCTGATTTCGGGTGAAACTGATTAAGTGAAACAACAAAGGTTCTTCTGCAAACCCCCACTGACTGTGTGCTTGATCTTTATAACTTTCGTGCATCTTTATACTTTGAACAGTTTCAGGATTCATCTCGTTTCCTGCGCAAATTGGCTATAAAATTTGGTCTCATCTTCACCTAAGTCAGAGGTTCTCAGACTTTTTCAGGTGGCAGATTAACTCAAATTCATAATTTTATTTATCATTAAAGTTAACTAGACTGCTGTTAAATCTAAATGAGCTGACTGTTCGCTACACTGAAAAAAATGGTGTAGGATTAATTTTGAAAGTATATTTAAAGGCTTCACATACTTTCAAACACTTGCTACTATAATCTACGTGCATCAGTGTTCATGCATAATGCTGACATAAACATATTTGCAAAAAAATTGCACTGATATTGTTATGTAGTACAGGTGGTTTATATGATTTCTCCCATCCCAGATGTGGTCAGTTACCATAGATGATTCACTGCCTGTCAGCAGGGTCGATTTGAATCATTGTTATATGTTTTAGGTCTTCCATATGTGTCCTGAGGACCTGCATGTCTCTCTATCTCTCTATCTCTCTGCTGTTTACGCTACAGGAAAAACCATCGTCAGATTAGAGTGGTCTGCCTCATCTCAACTGCTTCCACATCACTGCAGAAGTCACTTTTAAGGGATTTCCTTGAGCCATCAGATGCAGGTGCTCTTCAAAGATCAAAAGAGACCAAAAGTAAGCCTGCTCAGATCGTGATCTCAAATAGCCTGGTTTTATCCTGTCATGTACATTGTAAAAATGCTTTCTGTCTGCAGCTGTGATTTGAATTCGTAGAACATGAATTTCCTCCACATGTTGTTCTGGCTCACAGACCGGTCTTTTGACCTGCTTTCATCAAACGAATGTCGAGCTGATTCCAGTTAACATAACGGTAACTGGAGTTTAAGTCATTATTTTTACAGCACTGTAGCTATAAATTATGATGAAATCTTATGTTTGGATGCAACTTGTTTGAATGATCATGGCAGGAATGTTTTGCCAACCAGCATCTGCAATTTGCAAAATCATAGATAAAACAGAAGTGATTAAACAGAAACGCAGGCAATGTTTTTCTTACCAACCTCTATAGGAGGAGTGTGTATGCATATGTTTGTGTATGTATGTATTTATTTATTATTTTTACATTTAAGTCCAGTGTAAGGAAATTCATATTCAATTTTTAATGTTTATACAATTCACAGATTGAAAATGTATGGAAACCCATTAACCTTATGCTTAAATCAACAAGTAAACCAATATTTGCATATATTTTATATATATATTTTTTGGAATGGAGTTATTTGAAGGATTTAATTAAGTATTTTCAAGTGCATTTTTTATGCATTTTTTAAAATATGCATATTTTTAACTTTACTTGAAAAGTAATTAATCTGACAATTAGTCCAAAACATCCTGTGTAAATAGTTTAAGTAATAAAAACCAGTACAATACACTATGGCTGAGTATTGACACAAAATGTCACAATTTTATATAGATTCATTTAGATCAGTTACAGTAAATTTTTCTCAAAAAAACAAACAAACTCTCTCAACTAATGCTGTAAAGTATACAGTGAACCATGGCAATTAATACATTACTATACTATTAAAGGTTAAAAATAATAAATGATTTGTATACAAAAAATTAAATTGCACATATGGTGTTTTATAATAATTAGACGTGACATGACTCTGGATGATCAGCTGCGATGCGACGTGAATCTGAATGACTAGCAGAGACGTGACGTGACTCTGGATGAATAGCTGAGACATGACGAGGTTCTGGATGAACAGCTGTGATGCGACGTGAATCTGGATGAATAGTTGAGACATGGCGAGACTCTAGAAGGTCAGCTGTGACGGGACGTGACTCATAAGACAGGCAGGGTCAAACAGTGGCAACCAGGAATATGGCGGGCAAGACACAAGAATAATCCTAGGGCTAGCGTGGGTCGACGATTGGCAGACAGAGTTACAGGGGCAAGGCTAAAGGGAGTAATCCAGGAAAACAGGCGAAGATCAAAACCGGAGAAAACAGACAAGGCTAAGGCAGGGAAACTAATGAGGGCTCTGTAGTGTCGCTATCTAAGGATATGCGCTAAACAATACTCGGCAGATGGAAGGGATCAGAGTGAGTGTTAAATAGTGAGGGAGTGATATGAAACAGCTGGGTGCAATCAGTGTTACCAGCTGTGTGCAATCCGTGCTGAGTGCAATCAGTGCAATGAATGATGGGAATGATGGGTGATGTGCAACAGTGTGTAGTGCGAGAGTCAATGAAATCGGAAAGGGTGACCTCTGATGGTGAATAAACGGAAGTTCATGGACCGGATTCGTGACAATATAGATAGAAGAATATGTGAAGTCAGAAAACAATCGTTTAAGTGAAACCATGTCCTGGGCCGCACCATCTGGTGTTCTATGAAGGGGGAATCCCACACCGCTGGTCTGCTGTTTGCTCCGTGGCCGCTCAGTAACACCACTCTGGACCACAGTCATTAATCTTTGTGCTTTTAGGTTAGGGCCTCCTGCTGAGTCCAATAAACATAATGCAAAGCAAACACATAGTAAAGTTAGGTTGATGTAAAGCATGAGAATTTGTTTTTCTGAGTAGACCATGTCTTGTTAGGTGCTTTGTTGACAGGAGAAATCATGAACACGGACAAGGTATAAGCATTTATTACACTAGGTAGATGCTAAATTATACAGCATTATCTAACTGTTAATTTGTACAACTTAAAATGTTAAAAAATACTATACACTACCATTCAAAAGTATGGGGTTGTTGAGATGTTTCTGAAAGAAGTCTCTTATGATCACCAAGGCATTTATTTGATCAAAAATACAGTAAAAACAGAAGTATTGTGAAATATAATTACTGTTAAAAAGAACTGTTTTCTATTTTGATGCTCAAAAATATTTCTTAATATTATTGTCAGTGCTAAAAATGGGTTTGCTGCTTAATATTTTTGTGGAAAACATCATAAATGTTTTTCAGGATTATTTGATAAACACAAAGTTCACAATCAAATTAATGCATCTTTACCGAATGAACAACATATTAATTTCTTCTTACTGACCCCAGACTGTTAAAACAGTAGTGTATTGTAGAAATTAACCAAGATTAATAAATACTGTTAAAGTATTACTCATTGTCAGTTCATGTTAGGTACTGCAACTAATGTTGACATATAAAATCTTATTGTAAAGTGTTTCCAATTCTTTCACAATTGCATGAAATAATGTGATAGCACGTTTATGTAAATTATTTTTTGCCTGTTTTTCAGACCTCGTCTAATGCCTCTAAAGCACTTTCTATCTCATTGCCTTCCTAAAGATTAAATAACAACTTTGTATGTGGTGATTGATTGAAAGAGAAGTGTTATTTGCCATTCATGCGACAATATAAACCCTGCTACAAAAACATTTTCATTCTATGTTTTTACTGCTCATTGAATTTTCTGTTCAGTGGTTCAGTACAAATTGGTAAACACAATTCTTTAAATATAGGTTGAATCATTGAGCAAGAAAAAGCATTAAGACTCGCCACACCCCAGCCTGAATCGAGCCTAGAGGTATTTGAATGTCTCACTGTTAGATATGAACAAAGCTGTCCGTCATTCCCGAGCTTAAGGAACGTATTCCTACTGATGTGAGGAGTCATAGAGTGCGCGGTGCCCCCGACCCGTCCCTGATTCGGAGAAGTGCCATTTTCATGACTGAGTGCTCTTTAGTGTCAGATAATGACTGTTCTCAGATCAGGGGGGAGAAAAGATAAACGAGTGGATTTTCTGGTTGGGTTGACTCTAATACCACCTTCTCTTGACCGTCGATTTGTGTTGAGTGAATGTACAGTGAGAATTGACACTGGATGTCACACATGAGCGTCTCCACTTGGTATGTTTTTCCAGAGACAAGCAAACACGGAGGTGGAAAGATGTTCTGGAATGGGGCTTTTCAAAGTTAAGACGCTGAGATGCAGCCTAGGCTGGCAAACTAGATCCAGAAGAAAGAGATAAATGCCTTCTTTCCTTGTTCTGACATGTATTCCCATTGATAGAAGGATTATGTGAATCTGAATGTGAATGAGCAGAGTGTACACAGCAAAGGCTTTACCCGTTAACATCTACTGTACGAGGCATACCCAAGCTAGGCATTGACTGTCCTGTCATTTCTGTTTGACTTATGGAGGGATACTTATAAAAAAAAAATTCTTCACTTCTTTCTGCTGTGGTTTTTGGTCGAAGCCTTGATTCTCCAGAGCTTAAGTCACAGATTCTTTGAGAAAACTCTTATACAAGATCTTCCTAGTCTTTGGGTGTTAGTCAAACTCTGATTTCTCAAGGTGGTCCAGGTGGTCCTCCGTTTGCGAGAGAGTCTACCGTTTGAACTCGGTCGGAAGGGTCTTTGTTCCCTTTCTTATTGTCATTCACATATATTGTCTGTGGTTGTTTTGTCAAATTCCTCTGTACTTCTGTCAAACATTCCTCTCCCCTCCATTGCCTACTCTTTTACTTGCTTCTCATTAAAAGTTCAGGGGGAGAAAGACGGAGAGGAGAGGGGGAAAAAAGCTTGTTTGGTGCTGACTTGGGGGCCTCGTGCTCTGTTGTGGGAAGCAGCGTGAATGGTTAATGGAGGGAGGTCTCACTCAGGGGGAGATGACACCCACGTTTACAGAGGAACGAGGTACTGTAACGTGCATTGATGTCAAAACGTGAAATGGAAAGTATGGTGCCCTTTTGGAACGGAGGAGAGTGACTCAGGTGACAGGATGAGAGGAGAAGAGTTTAAATGCAGTGAGAACTCTCTTTATGGCTCTGGCTGGACCGCTTCCCGACCTCCTGTGTCTCTTCATGAAACAGAACAGACCTTCCTTACATGAAAAGCCGCAGTGACAGCACCTGGTTGCTATTTGGCCTAATGGACTGGGAGCTTTACTCACCAATGAGCAAATCAACTTGGGGGGGGCTTGTTGCTTTGTTGCGCACTCACCCGCTACCTCTTCCATCTCTCCCTTGTTTTCATCTTTCTCTCTCTTTTTCTTACCAAGGTTAGTATAGTTTTGCAAATTGCTTCTTTTTTTTTACTACTATTTTTGCATTCATGTTATGTTTTAGTTTAGGTTTAATCGGTTTCAGCAAACCAATAAGCCGTTTGTGCACAAATACATAAAAGCCAGAGGAAACCGTTTAGGTTGCCCTCTTTTGGCTGGTTGCCGTGAACTCGTTAGTCCCTTCTGGTAGATGTTGCAACTACTCTTTTTCCATGGATAGCCACTCAAAATTAGCTGTTTGTTCTGACTATATATATATATATATATATATATATATATATATATATTTATTTCCAAGCCACATATACATTGCTAATATGATATATTATTTCTGCACTATAAATGTATTCATTACTTATTTTGTATTTATTTATATATTTATATTTTGTGATTAGAGTTATTTACATTGTTATTAGAGTGATTTGTATAGCATTTATATATATACACTGCTGTTCAATAGTTTGTGATCAGTCAGATTTTTATTGTTTTTTAAAGCTTCTTATGCTCATCGAGGCTTTATCTATTTGATAAAAAATACAGAAAAAAAATTTAATCTTGTGAAATATTATTGCAATTTAAAATAACAGTTTTCTATTTTAATATACTTTATATTTAATTTCTTATTCTTTATAATTTATTCCTGTGATGCAAAGCTGAATTTTTAGCATTACTCCAGTCTTCAGTGTCACATGATCCTTCAGAAATCATTCTAATATGCTAATTTATAATCAATGTTGGAAACAGTTGTGCTACTTAATATTTTTTGGGATGTGTGATATTTTTCAATCAAAATAGAACTTTTGTGTTACACTACTATTCAAAAGTTTGGGGTCAGTCAATTTTTTATTTATTTATTTTTTTATTTTTTTATTTTTTTTAAATTTTTTTTAAGAAGTGAATACTTTTATTCAGAAATGTTGTGTTAAATGGATAAAGGGTGATAGTAAAGAATTATATTGTTAGAAAAAATATATATTTTGAATAAATGCTCTTTTTAACTTTTTTGTTTTCAACCCTCATAATAAATCAGCATATTAGAATGATTTCTGAAGGATCATGTGACATTGAAGACTGAAGTAATGGCTGGTGAAAATTCAGCACTGCGTCACAGAAATAAATTATATTTTAATGTATATTAAAATAGGAAACCAATATTAGAAATGGCAATAATATTTCACAATATTACAGTTTTTTCTGTATTTTTGATCAAATAAATACAGCCATGATGAGCATAAGAGTCTCCATTAAAAAACATTAACAGCATTTTGGCGGCCTGAAATGCAAACTTTTGAAAACAGTACAGTTATCTTCTCTGCACTCTTAAAAATAAAGGTGCTTAAAAGGTTCTTCACAGCGATGCCATAGAAGAACCATTGTTGGTTCCACAAAGATCCATTCAGTCAAAGGTTCTTTAAAGCTGCAGTCCGTAAGTTTTGCCTCTTTGTCGCCATCTCTGTTTGAAATCCTGGAATTGCAGCTGTGTGCGGAATTATCTTACTTGCGTGGGTTGTGAGTCGGCACGGCTCCAGCGCGGATGAATCTAATGCTTTGAGGCGGATGTGTGGCTGTCAGTCACCGCACCGGTGTGGATATTTACTGTACTTAAATCACAGATTCTAGCCTACATCTTGGAATATGACCCAAATAAGAATTTTTACCGTATATTGCCATCTGAACAAGTAAGTAACAAGTCTGCCACGTTTGTTCTGACCAACTGAAGAAAAAAGCATTACCATAAATCTCGCTACCAATGGTGATTAAATCTAAAGATCGGGTAGCTCATAACACATCAAACCATTCAAATTATTATTATTGTTATACTTTATTCTCAAATGATTAATGTTAACAACATCAGCATTGGGCACTATGAGTATAGTGGGTATTAGCGTGTAGATTTACATTTCTGCACAGTCTAATCTAATTGTCATACACTTCGAATTTCATATTAAGCAATTCATTTGAACCCCAAAAGCAAATTATGCTCCCTTCGACCTGGTTTTCTTTAAAATACAAATCTTTGTAATCCCAGGCTATCTGTAATCAGAAGCCTTGATAGACAAGACTGAGCGTTCAGGGGCAGCCTTCCTGGCTGGGTCGGGACAACACAAAAGTTCACAAACGGCCTCCATAACCGTGACAGGACAGGATGAGGATGCCCAGACGGCCTCCATAGCCGTAACAAGACAGACAGAGAGTTCATAGGTACAAAGTTCAGCAATAGTTCCTACAAGATCTGCTGTGACTTGACTTGACTCAGGAAGATCAGCTGTAGTTAGACTTGACTCATGATTGGCAGCTGGGACAAAACGGGGCGCTGTTGTGTCCGCCATTTTGCGTCAGACTCCGCTGTCTCCGCCATTTTGTGAGTGTGCTCTAGTGCGGCCGCCATTGCCAGAGTGAGTGCGGGGTCGCGTTCCTCCGCGATACCCACAA